AGGGTTTAGGGTTTAGGGGGGTCTTTCGGGTTCAGGCTCATATGTAGGGGGCTTTGGATGAAGCTGGCTGAAACCGGAAATTCTCGAAGACTGAGGCTGCATTCCTTGCAGGATCAGGGGACTCTGTAAGAAGAATGGAACTAATATTCTGAGAAGATATCTGAAATCAGGGCACTGTAGCTCCAAATGTATGACCTGCTTACCTAAGTCGCCTGGTAAACTGTGATAAACCCCTCATAAACCCAGGTAAAACCTTATAAATACCAGCCTTCCAAAGTCCCATGTAAACCATGATAAAGCCTTGAAATAACCCAAAGTAGAACCTTCGAAGGAGATGCAGTGGCAGCAGGACGCCGCAGCGCTGCTGCCGCGGATGGAGCTCTGAACTGGTTCGGGGTCGGGTTTCGGGTTGAGGATGTAGGATTCGGTGCTTCAGGGATTCGGTGTAGTAGGGTTTTGTTACAAGCCGAAGCCACTGAAACACTCCTATCAGTGCGGCGCTAAAGAACCCAGGGCTCCTGGCGCGACCCAAGCACCGCAGCGGAGGTTGTTAGGCCTGTAAGCTGGAAGCATTGTGTCTGCGTAAAGAGGGCTTCCTGTCTTCTCAGGCCCTAATGGGGCTGCATCTACCAGGAGTCTGCATCATGACCCTAAACCCATAAACCCTGAAGCCTACATCTCTAAACCCTAAACCCTTTAACCTCTAAACCCCTAAACCCTAAACCCATAAACTTAAAACCCGTAAACCCTAAACCCATTAACTCAAAACCCCTGAACCCTGTATGACGCTTGCATGCTCAGGACATGGACATCGTCCGGAAGCAGCTGCCAATCGTGCGGAAGGAATCTCAAGAGTCTTGGCAGACCAAAAAACCTAAACCCATAGGGTTCAGGGCTTAGGTCTTAGGGTTTAGGGCTTTGGGTTTAGAGCTTAAGGTTTAAAGTTTAGGGCTTATGCTTTATAGGGCTTAGGGTTAAGGGTTTAGGACTTTGCGTTTACAGTTTAGGGCTAAGGATTTTAGGTTTAAGGCTCAGGGTTTGGGGCTTAGGGTTCAGGGTTTAGGGTTCCAAAGACTGTCACCAAAATTTGACGCTCCAAATCTCTTGGTATTAAGGCTTCTGTCAAGCCTCGCAGATAAGAAGCAATGCCGAAGTCCTGAGAGATCTTATGGACCTATCGTTTCTGTGAATACTTAGAGTATCCATACCACGTGACAGTCTCCAACCCCTTGAAACCCTGCACGAAACCTTAAAACCCAAAACCCTAGACCCTCCTAAACCCTATGCGGTCGACCCTGTTCCCAGACTTTCGCTGGAGGGTTACAAGGGGGGCCTTCACAATTCTCTTAGAATACGTAGGGCATTGGGGTATATCATGCGATAAGACAATTCGGGGGCACTTCCGACTTTCATATTGGAGTACAGACCCCTATCAAGCCCAAACAAGCCGCCTGATAGAGGCGTGAACAGAATCGCTCCTCCCGTAAACCCCTCAGGAGGCTGTGATGGGTAGTAGCGAGTCGATGGAACGAGCGCTTGAGGCCGTCAGCTGTGGGGGTGTTTGAGGGCTTGGCGGGGATTTCGGGGTTTGGGGATTTCAGGTTTGGGGCTTTCCTCGAAAGAAGCTCCTGTGGCATTGGGGTTTAGGCTGAGGGATTTGAGGTTTAGGGTTCAGGGTTTTCGGGGTTTGGGGTTTGGGGTTTGGGGTTTGGGGTTTTGGTTCAGGGTGTGTCACTGAGCTCGGCAAAGGTGTGCCATGAGCTCGGCAGAGAAATCATTAACCTTAATACCCTAAACCTTAGACCCTAAACCCCGAAACCATAGACACCTACACCCCTAAGCCCTAAGCAAGCGCCGCTTGTGGAAGGTTCTAGAAGTCCATAGGGAGTTCCTTCTGGCGTTCATGGAAAGAGTTCCTTCGCCGGGTCTAAACGTAAGGCCGTAAGCTTTGAGGTTGTGGGTTTCCATGAACAGTCTTATAAACCCTAAATCCTAAACCGTCAGGGGCTTAGCGATAGTCGCTTAAGGGGTTGATGGGTTGGTAGGGGGAATGTGTATACTTTTCGGGTACATGTCCCAAATTTTTCGATTGCTTTATGCAAAGGTTCTATGAAAAATCGATAGCGCTGTTCGGGTGTTGTTGTTGTTTTTTTTTTTTTTT